TTAAAAAATTATGAGGTATGTGAATGTCGCCTTCATAATTTTTGGATTACTAGAAACTGACAAAGTTCATTAATGGAATATTATAATCTTCATCTTATTTTATGTGCCTTGTCCCTTCAGGACGTAGGTGGTTATGGCTCTCCACATCTTCCTCTCCCTTGTAGCTCTTCATAACTTTTATCTTTGTGTTATTTCCCTCAAACCTTGCCCTGCCATCCACTTGCTCAAGGCCATCCAGTATGTTACGCGTTGTTTTCTGTTTTTCCTCTTAACCTCTATCTGCCCTGTGAGTATCAGATTTTCCAAGCCCTCCTTACTCATAACGTGCCCCAGAAAGTTCAGCTGTCTCTTCCTGATGTTAAGTATAAGATACCTCTTTGTTTCCATTCTCTCTAATATGTTCGGACAATGGTATCCTCAGCATTTTTCTGTAGAAGCACATTTCTCTTGCTTCGAGTTTATTTTTCATTTTTGAAGAAATTGTCCAGCATATGCTGCCATATAACAGAATAGATATCTCGTAAGGGTTCAGTACTCTTTTCCTTGCTTCTAACGAAAATTTTCTCTCTCTTAATACACTGCTTAGCTTTTGGAATGCACCTTTGGCCATCCCAATACATTTTCGGATCTCAGTGTCATACTTTCTGTCCTCTTTTAAAACACTTCCCAGATATTTAAATTTCTGTACCTGCTCGATTTTGGTATCCCCGACCTGTAATTTGCATTTTGAACTCACTCTTTTGCTGATAACTATTCTGTTTTCTTGTATTTTATGCTTAGTCCTTTCTTCTCGCTTTCCTTCGCTACCTTCTGTGGGAGGTTTTGTGGTTTCCTTTTAGTGTCTGCTATCAGCACTATGTGATCTAAATATCTAATATTGTTATGATTGTTGCCGCCAATAATGAATCCTGGTAAGGCTGCTAATTCTCTTAGAATTGCTTCGCTGTATAGGTTGAATAAATCCGCTGAGAAGGTACATCCTTGTTTTACACCCCTTTCGATTTTCATATAACTGCTGGACTCATTTTCTGTCGCTAGGCAGGCGGTTTGTTACTAATATAGATTTGTGATTATTCTAATGTCTTTCCCGAATATGTAAGGGTTGCTGAGCAGCTCTAATAGATCTTTGTGGCGTACTTTGTCAAATATGTTTGAGTAGTCTATAAAAAAAACTGTTACACATTCTTTGACGAACCTGTACTCTTCTTGTCCTATCTCTGGAATGATGAGTTTTATTATATGGCTCATTAGTCTGATTGACCGTTGGAGTTCACATTCGTTTGTGACTGGTTTCTTAGACAGTGCTATAAAAATAGATCTGATTAGTTCTTCTGGCATATCCTCGCTGTTGTAGATTTAATTTATTATTTCTGTAACCTTGTCTATGCTTGTCTAAGGCTACCAGCACCTCTATTACAAATCCTTCTGGCCCTGCCGCTTTGTTTCTATTCAATTTTCAGCTTTCACTTCGGTTTTTAATATTTTCAGTCTGTTGGTATTTCTGTGTATTGCTGGTTGTTCTCTTTTGTCGTGGAAGAGTTCTACTATATATTCATTACATCTCTGAAATATTTTCTCTTTCCCTAATATCAGCGTTTCGTCCTTGAATTTTATGCAGTCTGTTGATGAGCATATCTTTTGTCCTGTTAGTTCTCATATTTTTATGCATATCTCCATTATCTGTGATACACTTTCTTTCTATTTCTGCACATTATTTGTTGAGCTCTTCTTCTTTATCCTGTCTAAATTTGTAGGTTGTTTTTGTTTTGTATTCCGTTCCGTGTCTTGGCCTTGTTTTCTGTTTTGCATCATGTCGCGAATCTCATTTATCATCCATTCGTTTTTTTTTCTTTTTCGTTCATTTTCCTTTGGAATGATCTCGTTTTCTGATGCCACTAAAGCTTCTCGTAGTATGTCCCACTTCAAGTTTCCATTTTTGTTTGGTCTCTCATATCTTCTTTTCACACTGTCCATATATTTTCCCTCAGGTTCGGGTCATTCAGAAGTCTGTTGTATTGCAATTTGCGCGCTGCGTTAGGCTTCTTCAGTTTCATTCTTAGTTTAAATATAAGGAGGTGATCGCTTCTGTAGTTGGCACGGATAGGTTTTGCAGTGAACAACTGCATGGCTGAATCTCCTGTTGATAGCTATGCAGTCGATATGGTTTTTACAATCTCCCCCTGAGCTTCACCATGTCCATAATCGTATTGGGTTTTCTTGGAACCAGGTGTCGACTATTACCTGGTCATTCGCCGTACACAATTGGACGCATTTTTCGGCGCGTCCGTTCCAGATTCCTAGACCGAATTTGCCAGTTATTTCACCACCCTTCTCTTTGACCACTTTGGCATTCAGATCTTCCATGATAATTATAATTTCTTATGATTTACACTGAGCGTTGACCTTGTCTGGCATGGAGTAGAAAGATTCGATTTCTTTTTCCATGCTTTGTGCTGTCGATGCATAAACAATTATAATAGATATGTTTAAAGGCTTTCCGTTAGTTTAACTACAAGAATTCTTCCAGATAACTGACAGTAACCCATAATGCATTTATTCATGTCTTGATCTAGTATTCATCCAACTCCTTTTTCACTTTTCTCCCCGCCTGTATATATAATCCTGTGGTTGCCACTGACAAAATATTCGTTGTTTGGCCACCTAGTTTCACATACACCGAAAATGTTGGCATTTAACCTCTTCATCTCCCGTTTTACATTTTCCAAATGGCCACAGCTGTTTAACATTCATAAGGTTCCAAATCCCGAGTTATTTTTTTGTTTGATACGAACTGCCACAGTATGACGGTCAGGTGACACCTGTCGCTTCTTTCCGAGCGGGGAATGAGTTCCAAGGAATTTTATCCCCTTTTGTTAATTTTTTTTTATTCTTTTCAGTGTATTTTCACGTTTGCTTCAATGTATAAATATATATATATATATATATATATATATATATATATATATATATATATATATATATATATATATATATATATGTTGTAGCCCTGTCTGTCTGTTTGTTCTCGAACTCCTCCATGAGTTTGGAGATGGACCCCATAACAATATATATTCTGAAACTACATTACCCAGGGTACTTGGATAAGTATATTTCATTTTGATCAAAGGGGTCCCGGGGGCGGACACAAGCCCACCACTGATTTTTTTTCCCGTTTGATTTAAATTAAATTGAAACTTCAACAAGGAAATGACTCCTATACAAAATATAGGAGAAAGTCAGAAGGTGGAGGTCACATCCGCAAGATCATTGAGTAATAATGAAATGCATAATTTTTCTCCATAAATTGTAAGAATGATTTAAAATCAATCATCATTTTCTTACAAAAATGTCTAACACGCAGCAAAGCGCTAGTTATTCGACTAGTACATATATATATATATATATATATATATATATATATATATATATATATATATATATATATATCATGCGTATGTATATAAATATGTGTGTACATATATATATATATATATATATATATATATATATATATATATATGCAAATTTTATATATATTATTTATATATATATATATGCGCTGTACTTATTGAAAAACGCTCAATATCAGCGATAGAAAACAAATTTAGTTGCGCTGATGTGAGTTTATGACCGTGTGTCGAAAACTCACATCAACGCAATATATATATATATATATATATATATATATATATATATATATATATATATATATTCAGTTCTGATAATGCGCTTATTATTGCAATCCAAATTTTGGAGGTCGCAGCATTTTATGACGTTTTTTGAAGGAAAATGTGTAGGAATATTAGAACGCAGTTACAAAGAAAATATTACAAGAAGGGTTTAAAAATTATGATATAATGAGTTTGTCTAAGACTTATAAAATAATTATAAGGTAAAAGAAAGAAACAAACAAACAAACAAAGAATATAAAAAGGCAAGAAACAAAGAAAGAATGAAAGAAAGAAAGGTAGGAAGGAAAAAGAGTGTAAAAGAAAGAAAGTGTGTAAAAGAAAGAAAGAAAGAAAGAAAGAAAGAAAGAAAGAAAGAAAAATAAGTTGAAGTGAAGAAAAAGAAGAAAACGTGAAAAATAAAATGTGGAGTAGAAAAAAAGATGAAAAAGAAAAGAAAAGCAATTAAGTGGAACAAAATGGAAAAAGTTCAAGACATTAAGAATGAACGACGAAGATGCGAAGAAGTAAAAAATAACAAGTAAAAAAAAGTAACAAATGTCAACTGAAAATGAAATGTATAAACAATTTCTTGGGTGTTGAAGTTGAAACTCACAATTATTTGTCATTATTATACAATGAACATTTCACATCAAAATTCAGGTCAGATTACAAAAGTCTCAGGCTACGAAAACAAGCACAATTGTATTATTTGCTATAAAATGAACATTAAACATTTAGCCTTAAGTTTTCAGCATTTTGTATGTTCAACTCATTGTTCTCTGGTAGATTTAACTTGAGATCAAATGATAACACGTATTGAAATTTCCAGGATTATTCTCTTTATTCTTGATGAAGTCAGTAATGCTAAAATCTGAATTGATTTTCTGATTTCCACTCACTTTGCAAGGCTCTTCAAGAATCGTTCTATGCGCTCCAAGTATTAAGGAAACCGATGGCACCAATTTTTATACTTCTCTAGCCTGCACTTTCTACTTGTTACCATCATCATTTTTGTTGTTGTTGTTGCTGCTGTTAGCACCACCACGACTATCGTGGTAGGCACAGAACAGAACATTAACAAAGTAACCGAAAATATACGGTTTTGTTTGTGAAACATACAGAGAAATCGTTTACTGAGCCTCAAGTTAAACAGTTGCAAGACTTCTTCTCATTTTGACGTCATTTTTATGGATCTAGCAGATCTATTGCTTCTTCGTCTGAGATTCTGTGAGTTTGATGTTTTTTCTTTTTATTAAACTCTTTGCATCGTACTGTTTCAAAAATCACTAATCGCTTTTGCTACTTTGCAGGAATAATTTATATAAATACAATGCGAACAGAAATAAGAACGAAGATTAAAAAAAAAGAAGAGAAAAGGATAAGAACCACAGAAAGAAAACTAGAAAGTAAAAAGGAAAAGAGAAATGTGTTTGAAACAAGAAAAAAAACGGAAGAAAGAAAGAAAGAAAGAAAAGAAATATAGATAGCAGCAAAATCATAAAAAATGAAAAGAAAAAAGAAAAGGAACTGATTAAAAAAGAAAACGGAACTGGATGCAAAAAGAAAGAAAGAAAGAAACAAACAAACAAACAAACAAAGAGGAAGAAGGAATAGGAAGGTGTTAACAAAGAAAGAAAGAAAGAAAGAAAGAAAGAAAGAAAGAAAGAAAGAAAGAACGTAAATAAAATGTTGATAGCAGCAAAGAGAAAACTAAAGAGAACTATCGCTATATAAATAGAAAAGAAAAACGAAAAGAGAAAGAAATGGATACGAAGAACAAAGGGAAAGAGAAGTAAAAAGAAAGAAAGAAAGAAAGAAAGAACAAATCAAAAAGAGGAAACGACATTAGTATTAAAAAAAAAAGAAAAATAAATGAAAAGAGAACAGGAATAAAACAACCAGAAGACGAAAAATAGAAAAATCCTATGAAGGAAAATCAAGAAAGAGAAAAAGTAAAACAAATGTTAAAAAGAAAGAAAAAAAGAAATTGAACCTGATTTCATTATATGCCTGATACATTTATCGGTAAAACCTCGCTCATTGTCAAAACGTTTTTTTCTCTTAAATAATGAAAACAACTTCGAAAACATGTAATTAATCAATTTTTGAATAAAAAAAAACGAGCACTGTATGTGATTTTGCTAATACGACAATGCATAGTACTTATGACCTCAGAAATTATCAATTTGCCAAACAGCTCGAGAGATTGTCGAAGTTCTCGCTTTTATCAGCTTTAGTAAAAGATAATTTTTGAGCAAACGGAGTATATAAGAGTTTACAACAAAATGTAATCTACATTCATAATTTACTACTGAATAATGTTCAAAAGTGTATACCTACAGTATTAACGAGCGAAATAAACCTGGCGGCTGGAAGGATGAATGGGAAATATTTTTTATTGTACGATTTTAAACTCGGAATGAAAGCAGCAGTTTTAGCTTGTAGAATACGTACAATGCTTATGGAAAGTGACGTAAGTGAAGGTAGCGCTTTAACATAGAGAGATATCAATAGGAAATTTAACAGTTTACGATACACCCAGTGAAAGACAACTGCTTACATAGGTAGAAAAGACTGAGATATGAAAGACTGTTAGCTAGCTCAATAGGAGATGGATGGATAGATAGAAATGAACACCTATAGATAGATAGATAGATAGATAGATAGATAGATAGATAGATAGATAGATAGATAAAAAGTAAAATGTAAAGGAACATATGTATATTAATCAGAATCAAAGGATTGTAAGGAAATTTCAATACGAATCATGTAAAAAATAAATTTATTACGTCTCACACCTTTATGTTTTGTCCATGGTTCTATTGTGGCAATCATTTTGTTGCGATATTAGATACGCAGGCGTACAATATGAACGTTGTTCTTGCTGTTGCAATAAGTATTAGATGCCCATCTTGTTTTGTCCTTACAACTTTCACAAAGTTTCAATTCACACCGAATTAATCCTGTCAGTAAATTACTTTTCGAAATTTCTTCATATATTGATATTTTTCGGCTTCTTACTCTACTTGATTTCTGCTTTTACAGGTAAGAAAAGACTGAAGAATATTTTTTACTACATTTCACCCAATACAAAACTTTAGAACCACTCAAGGCAGAGGGTTAGAAATGAGTGGTTTATGATGAATAAAAAGTGTGGTGTGAATGGGAGAAGGTGATACAAATTGGGCATTAAGAGGATAAGAAGGCTAGATAACGAGTGACTCTTGACTTGAATATATTTATATATATATGCATGTGTGTGTATGTGTGTGTGAGAGAGACAGTGTGTGTGTGTTTGTGTGTGAATATAAAACATGTCTGTTTTTTTTTAAAGTGAAATTATCATTATTGTAACTCAGAATGATTCGAAATAGTGTCCTCATCTTGGTTGTTAGAGTCGTAATATTTTTTCAAATTTTATGTGCATATGCGTGCTGGGGCTCAAATCAAAGGTTTTATTAACGATCATGGTGTTTAATATTCATGTGACGTGAGGGGCTTTAAAGAAAAACACAGATAGATAGGAACATGTGAGAAAGAAGATAGATGTGGACTGAATGAGATAGATAGATAGATAGATAGATAGATAGATAGATAGATAGATAGATAGATAGATAGATAGATAGATAGAATAGGTAGTGATAAATCTTTTTTTTAATTTTTAATTCGTTACATTCACGGTTTTAACTTATTTCTATTTTTATTCTTAGTCTTTTCTCATTTTTCAAAAATTTCCCCTGCCAAACAAATTTCCCCCTTTTTCTTTCTCTCGTATTCTTTTTTTTTTCTTTTTTTTTTTTTTAATTCTTATCAACTTTTCTAATCGCCATCTTTTCTTCCATAATTTTGCTTTCTTATCATTTCTTCACCTGACATCACAATTCAAACAGATTGATTATGTTCCGTGTCGACGATCAAAATAATCGACTTCATTTTCTTCCCATCTCCTCTGAATTTTTTATGAAAATATTTGAGAACTAGCAGCATGGCCCTGCGTTGCCCGTGCTTGATTCAAAAACCGTACACCTCATACAGCAATCGCTATCACTTGACTTAAAATATTTTTACCCTTCATTGCCTTTAAAGGAGTGCCCTTTGCCGTGCTGATGTTGCTACATGCCTTACTTCTTGCCTATCTCACACTGCGAATTTTTCTAAGCTCTATACTAAACATTAAATCTGGTACGAAAAAAGAACTAAACAAAATGAACACAAAACGATCAGCTTTAAAAAAGGACTCGTAACTGGAAAAACCGAATGACAAAAGAATGTTAACAACAAATACTTTTTCACACCCAACCCAGTTCTGCGGAATCAGAATCAACGTTGAGTTTAAGCAAGCGAATGAGCTAATTGGAGTAAAGTGCCATGCAGATTTAAATTTTTCCCACTTTTGGCGAATGCAGCTATCGATTTTTTTGGCATGCTAGCATGCTAGTTAACATTCGTGTCAGTCAGCTGTTGGCTCTTACACTGGCCAATAGAATCTTCCTGCCAATTCGTAGCAGCCAGCTATAGGCTCTCACTCTGACCAATAGAAAATGACCGCAAATTACATGAAAAATGCCGTAGAAGCATGAAAAAATCGATTATTTCCACTATCGATGGGAGTTGGAAAATGCAAGGTCGGTCTTGGCTTTTCCACTAACTTGGAACATGTCCATGTAAATTTTAGTGCAAATCCGTCGAAAATTGTGGCCGTGCATTCGTTACACACACACACACACACACACATCCTGCCTTTTATAGATAGAGATTCTCCATATGAAAAAGAATAGTTGGGAGAGAAAAGACGGAAGGAAAGGAGAGAAAGTGGGACAATAATGGTGACAAGCATGAAAGGAATGAGTAGAAAGTTAATAATGCGCACCTTTTAGTGTTGGCGCAACATAATCTTCTTCTGTTTCTCTCATTTGATCTTGTACATTACTAAGCTGAGATTATTTTTAAGAAATAAATAAAGACTCCAAAGAAAGAAAGAAAAACTCCAAAAAGAGAAAAAAAAGTCTCAAAGAAAGAAAGAAAGCAAGAAAGAAAAACTCTAAAGAAAGAAAGAAAGAAAGAAAGAAAGAAAGAAAGAAAGAAACTAAAATCTGACAATGCAGATGTATTCGACAAAGTTTTATAGCATGCTATAGAAATTATTTTTCAAGTTGTGCAATGCGGCTATCAAAAGTTACGCGCAATTTCGCAGATATGCCCTATCCTTCCCAAACTATGGGTTAAATAGCAGTGTAGACTAACTCTCTAGCTTTTGGTGGCGACCATTCTAGGAGATGGTAAACTTTACCTTATAAAACCGACTTCTTACAGAAATCAAAACAACGCAATATGGCGTGATTTTTCTGTGAGCCGGGACTCCACAGGGCGTCTACAGGTTCAGAAAGGAATGAAAATAGACATTTATTTGGCCTAATATAATAGATAACTCGATGATGTCAGATGTTGACAAGAGGTTAAAGATGAAATGGGGGATTACAACATAACTTAACAGATAAATACGTAACAAAAAAAAGCTCCGAAGATTATGATAAAGTCAAATTTCAACACAAACCAGAAACCACGTGGCCTTAAGAAAAGTATTAAAGTCAAGAGGGAAGCTAATGGATATCATTTTTACGCAAAGAGCCAGTCATATTTGGAAGAATTGAAAAGAAAAATTTCTCCGTTAGTTTTTTTTGTTTTTTGTTGTTGTTTTTTTTTGGGGGGGGGGTTCAGAAATGAATCACACAAGTCGAAAACGGGACGAAGATATACGGTTTTTAATTCGAAGGTAAGAATTAATTTCTGGGCAGTGATAGTGAAGTAATGAAGAAAAATATACACTGATAACGATATAGTATTCATTTTTTCATCTTTCAGACACTAACACTGAAGACTGATTTCGGTTTGAAAACGAGAAGAAAAAAAATGAAAGAAAAATCAAGGAGCGAGAAACTATTTTCCCTGCATTATAACATTACATGGGAAAGTTTTCTGTTTAATTGAAGTTTAATTGAAGTTTTTCTGTTTAATTGAAGTTTTATGGACCAAACAATTAGATATACGAACACAAATGCATGACGAATTGTTTTTTTTATTAGTTCATTATGTTTTCCAGTTTGCCTTTGAGAGAAAAAAAAGAAACAGAACTAACTAAAAAGTTCTGGCGCCTGTAATCTCTAAGTGAAACCGAAAGAATAGTTGTTAGGAACATCAACATACTGAGCAATGTCAGCATAGATAGATAGATAGATAGATAGATAGATAGATAGATAGATAGATATGAACAAATTGAGATAAATACATGCCTATATACATAATGATGAGAGATAGATAGATAGATAGATAGATAGATAGAGAGATAGATAGATAGATATAAACAAAGTGATATAAATACATGCATATATACATAATGATGAGACTAAGATAATAAATAGATAGATAGATATAAACAAAATGATATAAATACATGCATATATACATAATGATGAGACTAAGATAATAGATAGATAGATAGATAGATAGATAGATAGATAGATAGATAGATAGATAGATAGATAGATAGATTCTACAACGGCCGCTCTCTCAGTAATGCTTGAGGTTTTATTACGTTAGCCCACGGCGTCAGAGGCCTATGTTGGTATTATGGCTGTAGAATTTGGCTGATTCTGTGGATATTGAAGAAACACAAATATGTCTGAATAGGTGTCTACAAAGGGGATTTGATAGCCATCCAGACAGACGGACATCATCGCAATGGACTAACCATCCAATATTTCAAGCTCGTGGAAATTTTCTCTCAAGTAACGCCTATTCATCTCTCCTTTTGTCTTCTCTCTTTTTTCCATTTACTCCACTTGCATTGCATGCTGCTCCTCTCGCTTGGCCTTTCAACATTACTACATAAAATAAAGGTCGTGTGTATTTCCATTGTCGACGCAAAAGCCAACACCTTGAAGTAGATATCAGAAGCATAGTAAATGTAACCATTCTGAGCCGTCTAACTACCGTCCTCTCAGTCACCTACCATTCTTCTATTAAGTATTCGAGGCTCAAATCAGCGCCGAAATAGTTAAGCACCTTACTTCACATAATCTGCCCGGCGACAAGCAATATGGTTTCCGCTTTACCCGATCTACCGCTGACGTGCTCATGGCCATAACTAAATCTTCTTTAAGTGATATACGTTGGAATTTCGAACCGAACCCTCTCCACGATGTTAGATTGTTCTAATTCCACGTGCCATGCCTTTTTTATTAGTTAATTCCCTTTACTAATTCTACTCGAACCGTGACTCTAGACATCTCTAAAGCTTTTGATAGTGTTTGGCATGTTGGCCTTTTTCGTAAGCTTCAGGGATAGGGTATTACAGGACGATTATTTACTTAATCATTCCTGTCAAACAGTGAAATGAAGGTCATTCTAAACGGGTTCTCCTCGGGTTCCTTTATCACGAATGCTGGTGTTCCCCAAGGCTCTGTCTTGTGCCCTACACTGTTCCTGATTTTCATCAATGACTTTCCCGATGTCATCAGTTCCCAAGTAGGCTTCTACGCAGACGACACTACTATTTACTCCTGCCTCAATAGTAAATCTGAAATCGTTGACAAAACAAACCTGGCTGATAAACTCGAAAAGGACCTCCAATCTGTGGTTGACTGGGGTAGAAAATAGCTTGTAAATACCTCCAAAAGGAAACTGCTCTCCTTTACACACCACAGACAACACTCCCTGCCTCCCATCAGAATGGCTGATTCCCAACTCCTTGAGAGTGCCTTGGTCTAACTGACATTAGGTGGAATAAATACATTGAATCAATAGCTTCATCTACGGCAAGGAAAGTTGGTTCTCTATGTCGTAACAGAAAGTTTTTCTTGTCTGAGTCCATCATTCAAATCTATAAATCAACCATCCATCCTTGCATGGAATACTGCTGCCATATATGGTCTGGTACCCAAGCTGTACGTCTCAAGGTCCTCGACAAAATCTAGAGACGAATATGTAAGATGATAGATCCTGATCTGGCATCTAGTCTACAATCACTATCCCACAGACGTGTTGTGGCCTCCCTCTGTCTCTTCTACGATTATTTTCACGGTAAGTGTTCCGAGAAGCTACTTTCGCTGGTTCCCAGACTACATGAATTTAAGCGAGCTACCAGGCTGGCAACTCGGTCCAACCCTTTCACTGTTAAAAGGGTTAAATTTAACCGTCTCTTCTACTCAAGCAGCTTCTTCTCTCGCACTTCCCGTCTGTGGAACTCCCTTCCCCTTACTTGCTTCCCCGATGACTATGATCTTCAAATATTCAAGTGTATGGTCAATCGACATTTGACACCCTGAGCTTGTTCCTCATCCTTCTGAGTATCCTTTCCCCAAACATGCCTATTTACTTTTGTTCTCAATCCCCTGTAACTCCTTGTGTGCTAGTGGCACTCCTGCTTTGCTTGAGGTGAATTGCTTTAAAAAAAAAAATAAACATAGTTTCTCCTGATTTCTTTTTTATTATTTGGATGTTGTAGTTTGTTTTTTTCTGGAAAATAATGGCGGATGTTATTTGACAATTAATCCATTTCGATACCATGAACTGTGTAATTACAAGTATAGATTAAAGTGTAGAAATGGCGGAATAATCTGATCCTAAGTACACTCAATTTCACTTTTCGGCGGTAAACTATATATCTGTCCACATTTCTGAGATGAGGTAATGTAACGATTTACACCATTCGGACTGTTGTCCTCATCTTTATTGTCATATTCACGACGTTTCGACCGTTGTACGCTCCAAGTTTCTTCAGGTGATATACGTTGGAATTTCGAACCGAACCCTTTATTTAGTCCATGGTGTTATATTGTTCTAATTCCACGTGCCATGCCTTTTTTTCTCACTATTCGTTAATTCCCTTTACTAATTCTACTCTCCAAGTTTTTGTCCCCTCTGCTGTGGTGGGCAGTTTCTCCTTTATATTATTTGCCAGAGCTACACGTGATGGTGTACATATAGTCCTTAGATTGCAGGAACACCGTAAAGTTATAACACGAGAGGAATTTGAAAAATCAGGCAAAACTAAACATATCTGGAGGAAAAAGGAAGATCTCAAATTTATAGTAAGATGTAAAAGATGGCATGGCATATGGAATTGGAACAATCTACCCCCGTGGACTGAATAAACGGTTCGGTTCGAAATTCCAACGTGTATCATCTGAAGAAGGTCGGTGCATACAATTGCCGAAACGTCATGAATATGGCAATAAAGATGAGGACAACAGCCCGAAAGGTGTAAATAGTGTAAATAGTTAAAATACCTAATAATATACATAAAATAGCTCATCTCACAAATATAGATAGATCCTGAAGAATGCCGGGGCGTACAACGACCATAACAAATATCATTGCAAAACTCAATTGTAATTTAGGATATTAAACCATGTCTATTCATGAAATCTTTAAAGTAGAGAAAGACGTTGCATTGAGTCAAACCCAGTTTTGGAACAAGAACAATATGTACACCAAAAGAAGAAGCAGACAACATAATTGGAAACTGGCAAGCCGCAGGTCTTATATGAGTTTTCCTTCTTTCTAGTTGGATCCCCAATGAAAGTTAACAGTTCCAACTCTGCTAGTGGGCTTACTGTTCAACTGGAAACCAACCCATGAATTTCTATATCTCCGAGCATTTGTGAGATGATCATTGATTTCACAAAACGGATTTGTTTGGCCTTTGCAGCTTTTGTTTTTAATACTGCTGGGGGTAAAACCACTGCCAGTACGAAAAAAGCCCAGCATGGAACCGTTTTTGTCACTGATAATCCAACCATGCGGAAGGTAGTACTAGGTTACTAACAGCATTCACTGAGTGACCTAACCACAAACACACACACATGCATCTCTATCTCTCTCCTCTCTCTCTCTATCTTTCTCTCTCTCTCTCTCTCTCTCTCTATATATATATATATATATATATATATATATATATATATATATATGATTGATAGGCATTGTTTGACTCTTCAAGAAATCCTTGATAACATAGAATTATTGGAATTGTATTACGCAAAGCTAAACAGATTTTATAACTGCAGAACAGTCTGTAAGTTGAAGAACACTAAATATCAATTCTATGACTGTTGACTTCAAGATAAGTGCAGACTTTTTCATGCACCAAAATCACCGCAAGAATTCTTTTCGACAAAAAAAGTTATTTGTTTTATTTCAATTGGTCATTCAAACGAGCCAGTTTCTCACTGAAAAAGATTCGCAGTAGCAGTTTTTTCCGTGTTATTAACAATTTGAAGTCCACGAAACGAAAAATATTTTCTTCAATAAATTCCGGTTAGGTTGAGATATTAACTCTTGCCATGGATAGAGGAACAATTTTCTTTGTTTGGGGTCCTTTTAAGAAATATACTTTCCGTTTCTCGTGACTATTCTCTCCATAATTACTTTTGAGTGCCTGGGGTTGAACCACCGATCAATATTCGTTTCTATAATTTCAATGAAACTCATTTTCCTTGATTTTGAATTTTTTTATAAGACTTCTTGCAAAAGAATTATAAAGAATGATTGATTGATCAAATAATAAAAAAATGCTGAGTAAACGTCATGCGAAATTCTAAGTTTTCACAGATATTTCGGAATAATAAGCTACTGGGAACTTTTCCTTTTGCCGACATGATTGTCCACCCGCTAATATTTCAAGGCCGGGGTGGATTTACCGGTTATTGGAAAATCATACTTCATAGGGCAGGTCGGAGGATACATTGCATTAAATAGCAGGCTAACCTTGGATGATAGCTAATCGAAGAGAAATATTCATATGAGTTCTAAAATCTAAATTCACGGATAGTAAAGAAAAGGAACCTGCAGACGTCCATGGTCATCTACATCCTGAAAAAGCATGTTATTTAAAATATATATGTAGAAATGAATTAAAGACATACAATAATATTACTAGAGCATCTCTTATTTTCACACTGGGTGATATTTGTGTGTGTGTGTGTGTGTGTGTGTGTGTGTGTGTGTGTGTGTGTGTGTGTGTGTGTGTGTGTCTGTTTAATCATTTCACCCAGGCAAGTTGACGATGCCACTAGGACGCTGGGGTTTACAGGGAATGAAAACAGAATGGGAAGACTTTATGGAGGAGAAAGGGCAATAAAATAACAGGTTTCAGGAAGACAGAAGATGGTGATTGATTTTGCATTTAATTTTTTTAAGGTTGCAGTTAGTAGGGAAGCAAGAAATAGGAAGGGAGTTCCACAGGTGGGAAGCGCAAGAAAGGAAAGTATTAGAATAGAACATACGGTTGAACCTAACTAGTTCAACAGTAAAACCATTTCAAATAGTAGCACAGTTAAATTCATGTTGTCGTGATAGCAAGGAGGAGGTCTCATTAGGACAACTGCCATGAAAATATTTGTAGAAATGACAGCGGAAAGCCACAACACGTCAGTGAGAATGTGACGGAAGTCGAAATGCCAGATTAAGATCGATTACATTACAGACCCAACTTTGAATTTTGTCAATAATCTTAAGACATATTTTACCATTTACACTATTTACATTGTTCTA